GCTGGGGCTAAACCATGTCAAGCCTATAACATTTTCTCCCTGCTATGCAAATTCCATTCTCTTACACTTTTGTTCCATTTTGTCCCTTCACTGAGTGTTTCTTTCAGCCTAGGTGTCAATATCTTTTAAGTTTCTTGTTATAATGTAAATAAACACCAGACAGTTGATTGGTAAAGCTCTTCCTTCCTTTGAATTGTTCCTTCCTATGGCAGTGAGTTGTAATTAATAGAGGGTTGTTTGTTGGTTTTAACCTGAGTAAATTACAATTGAGTTTTTCTTTTCGAAATATACTTTACATAAATAGTCTGGCATGGATGGCAAGACTGAATGCACCCTCACCAACTTTGCAGGTAACACTGAACTGGGAGGAGAGGTAGACAGGATAGAAAAAGAGCCACCACATAGAGACAACTTGGCAGGCTGTGAGACTGGACCAAGACGATGTGCACAAGGTTTAACCAAGATACAGCGAAGTTCTGCATTTAGGTTGGAAGAATCCCACACAGCAGTACAGGCTGGGATCTGACTGGATAAAATGCAGCTCTGCAGTAAAAGCCGGCAGCGTGCCCTGACAGCAATGAAGGCAAATGTATCCTAGGCTGCATCAGCAGGAGTACAGCCAGTAAATGGAGGGATGTGGGATTGCCCTATTCAACCCAGTACTTGTTAGGCCAGAACTGGAACACAGTTCTGCTCTATCAAGTTCTGGTCTCATACCACTGGGATATCATATGGTTTTGCGTTTAAGTATAGATGCAAGGATTAATCTGTAGCTGACAACTATCCTGTATGCACAAAACAAAGTAAAAAAATAATTAGTCCTTTTTCTCTTTTTGCTTAGGAAAAGGTTCCTGCATATTTGGCAACATCTCCGATACCCACGGAAGACCAGTTTTTTAAAGACACTGACAATCATTTGAAATCAGGTGAAAATGAGAGGACGTGTGCAAACTCAGAAATTCCACACTCTGTGGAAGCAGAGACTGTATTTACCCCAGGGTCAGTGAAAAAGAAAAAAAGAAGAAGAAAGAAATACAAACAAGATAGCAGGAAGGAAGACCAGATCTCTTCTACTGGGACAGAAGAGATTTTTGAAATGGAAATAAGCTCAGATGATGAAAAAAGTGTTCAACCCCTAAGGTAAGCTACCAAATACTTGCTGACTGCTTTCACTGTCATCACTGAACATTAAAAGGTGCCTTGTACCTTTCCTCTGTGCAAGTAATGCATAAGTTTCAGTGGGCTATAGGTAGGCTTTTCCTCAAACAAACAAAACTCCAAACCGTTATCTTCCACATCTTTACAGAATCCTTCAAGTTTGGCCATTTTGTTATGAACATGACATCCAATTAACCCATTCTGGTAAAGAAATGTTGTCATGATCTGATGTGTGATTGAGAGACAGTTTCAGTGTAATTTCTCTGAGGAGGCAGTGTGGGTTTTTAGGGTGTTCAGTATCCTCTACAGAAAGTGCAGTGTAGAATGCCTGAATTTGACTTCTCTCTAACTTGAAGTTTACTTTGGTAAATGAAAGCTACATAAATGAATGCTCCTTCACATTAGTAAAGAGAATTCTTTACATGTGTATAGTCATAAAGGAGGAAAAAAAAATCAGTCCTGTATTTTGAAGTGGATAAACTATTAGTAAAGTGGAGCTTGGGGTAAATTAGTGTGTATTAGCACATACTAATAAGCTGAAGAAGCTTATATGAGTAATAGGAAAGATTACAGTAATAGAAGAAAGCCATCAAGCATATAAATGCTTAAAATCCAGGAAAGGCCTACTCAACTTCTGCGGAAGTTTCTTAGCCTGCTTAACAAAAGAAGTGGACTTAGTTTTTTAAACAGAGCTGTTAAATGTAGTAGTGTCTGAATAAACTCAAGATCTGGTCTGGGAGTTGGAGAATGTTTTGGTGTAAGAGAATGAAGTATAACTGGAAAAACTCCTTCAGTATGGGTCTTCAACAGAGTCTCAAATTTAATGAGTACCAATCAAAAATGTTAGTGCAACTGAAAAACATGAATCTAACTGTTATCACACCTATGGCAAATAAAACACAACAAAAAAAATTCAGATTTTAAAGTGTTTTTTAGAATGTCTGTGGCTTTCTTAGTTCTTTTGCCTATTTTTTCATTGCTGTTTGAGATTTTCCCTTTTTTCTTTTTTTCCACTTTAAGAAAGGCAAGATCTTTGTTCAGTCTTTAGTGTGACAGTATTCAGACAGCAATAACTTGTCATAATGAAACCACCAAAAATAAAAATAATCAAGTACAGGACGAAAGGAAATATAACCCCATGAATTGTTTATTCTTTATTTAATAAATTATTACAAATGTATGAAGAATTTAGGAATGTCATGCCATGCCAATAATGTCTGTTTTCATCCAATCTTTAGAATTCAAATTGCTATTCTAGCAATTACCTTAATTTGGCTAGAGATGAATAAAATATTGTAGGTTTGACTGGAATGTCAAATGTTTAATCATTGCTGAACAGACCATGGTGTTTCTGTGAAGGTTACAGTGGTTTTATTTTTTGTACCCTTTAGAATGAGAGATTGAAAAGGCTTTTTATTTGTAAATCACATTTATTTTATATATATATATATATATACAGAAACAGCAGTAGAAATGAATTCTCAGAGAAGAGTGTTTGGATGCGAAAGGAAGATTTTGTACAAGAATGCTGTTTTCTTGTGAATATAAGTAAATGCAGGACTGAAAAAATACATTGTAGTAATGGAAGCCCAGAGACAGTAGGTTCGTGGCTATCTGTCTGTTAGTGGAGTTCATATACAGTCATTCCAGTGGGCTACCAAGGCAGGAAATAAAGTATCTTGCAATAGGCGTACACTGTTTTCTTCCCAGCTAAAGATACGGTTGTGGAAAAAGAGTTCGTAAGCTTTCTTTTCACATCCTGTGAGGATGCAAGGTAATATCAGCAAGTTTGTTTTGGGATTTTTTTGGGTTGGGTTTTTTCTTTGGTTTTTGTTTTTGGTTTTTTAGTTATAAATGTGGGGTTTGGGGGTGGGAAGGGATGGAAAAAACCCAGAAATAGAAACTTCACTATTATTAGACATAGCTTCAGATTTCAAATTGAAACTGGGAAAGGAAAAGGGAGGCTGATGTTCCAACAGGAAGGTCAAAAATTCAGCCGCAGGTGCCAGTATGTAATGTCTTATCTAGTTCTATTCTTATAAAGTGGAAAACAAACTGTTTTCTGCTCCTTGGGAAAATCCATTTCCAAGTGTTTATGCAACTTTTTAAAAAATAGGTCCTTTGCCTTTTCTAGGTATGATTTAGGTACGTTAGTAGTGCTTGACTTAAAGTAATACCAGGAGGAGTGAGATTAGAGTGTACACGCAGAAACAGAGGGCATTATTTCTCCAGTGCTAAGGGTGTTAAAGAGTTAAAGTAGTTATGTGTCTCTGAAATTATATTTATTTAGACCATGTATAAAGTGGATAAGGATGAGAGGAAGTGGTAGCACTGTTTATAAGTGTTGAAAAATAAATAGCTTAGAATTGGTAGTGCAACTCAAAGTTATAAGTTGATGCATACTGATTCCCCTCTTATTTTCAATAATCTTTGACTGCATTTGGATTTTCAACTTTCAAATTTATCCACAGATGAATTTTTTTTGATGCTTCTTATGAATTCATTTGCTTGCTAATTCCCAGTGAATAAAATCTATTCAGTACCACCTGTGTGTCATCTTGCCCCCCTCTGAACTCATACTGTTAAGGACCTCTCTGTAATAATTTTTTTAATGTGTTACGTAATTGTTCAAGAATACCTTTTTCTTTTTTGGAGATATGTAGCACTGGATACAGACAAGGATAGTATGAAACACGTTTCTATCACGGTTAGCTTGGTTTATGAATACAAAGGATGTACAGTCTCTGCAGCTTTCATCTCAAGTCAAGCTGTCATAATCAAGTTTCATAAGAATAATACTACTGAATAAGAAGTGGAACTATTGAGACATTTTTAGGGTTCAGTGTTTAACATAGTCTAGACTTCCAAATGACAGAGTTGTGCAAATGAAGTAGATAACTGTAAGTGCTTAGGGTCTACTCGGCTGTATAGAGTAAGTGTGCGTATTCTAAATATTTATGTATTTTAACAGGTAATGTTAAAATCTTTTCTTTTTTCCATCCGGAAGAGAAATTAGCATTAGCATTCCAAAAGAAGTCCAGTACAACTGTGCTGCTAATTGAAGAAAAATACTTTTTTTTTTTTTCTTTCATAATTATGGCTTAAAATAATCTGTATTGCATTTTACACTCAAATTCCAGGCTTAACTTCCTTGTATTCTATCCACTGTTTAGCCTTGATGCCCTTGATCTGACCTCAAAACAAGTTAATTGTATCCTGAGAATAGCTATTGATTCAATTAAATTCAGAAAGCAGTAAAAAGATCTGGAGTACTTCTGATGGAAATATTTAAAAGGGACTTCTGTGTAAAATGCAATGCATGCCTGCTCAATGGGTCTTACTGTTGGTTGGTTTGTTGTTGGGGTTTTTTTGTGTTATAGAGTAGACTTCCCAGTGCAAAACAAACCCCATTCTTCAGAAAAGTACAGTACTTCTAGATACTTGTTGTAGTTTATGTTAATCTGTAAACTCTTGGGTAAACTGAGGCTAGTACCTACCCCTGTTTTCTTACTGGTTTTAATCTGTGAAATGTGCAGTTGTAAAGTGCATTGTCAAAACTACCTTTTCTATTTAACTTTTTCAGTGATCCTAAGGTTTACATAGTAAAAGTTATGTTTAAGTCTTTATGTTCATTTTTGGGTTTTGGTAATATTAGCTGGCTATACAGAGTAGCATTTGTGCTATTGTGACCTCTTCAATATTAACCTACTGTGTCAAGTAGTAGATTTTTAAACTTGCAATATTTTCAAGTATTAATAATATTTTTATATACATTTAATTATATAGAAGTGTGTCACAAACAATGAATTCTTCAAGCTATAGACTTCTTTCTTTTGCTCTTGGATTTTTAATAAAATATAAGTAACTTTTCTAACTGAATTAGTAATGCAGATTTCTCACAGCTGACAACGTCTCATGTATTTCCACAGAGGATCCTCAAATTCATCGCCGAAAGGTGAAGAACAAAAAGAATCTTTGATTTATCACTCAAAGGATCATTACCCCTTATCTGATGGAGACTGGTCCCCTCTGGAGAAGTAAGTCACTTTGTAATGCCAGCATATGTATTGTGATGAAAAATTATTTTGAAAAATGAATGTGCCTTTTTATTAGTTTTTTTCCCCCCGATCTGTAAAATTATCAAACATGCCTAACTTTTGTGGTATTGAACGCAGCAGTTGATACTTACTTGGAACTGTAGGAACTTTCCTCTCTACTGTATGTATTAAACAAAATTTTTGTCTTTTTTCTTTTTTTTTTTTCCCCCTCAAATGACAGAAACCTCATTTTCTTATTAAAGAAAGAAAATACAGCTAATAAGATTTTTTTGTAGGTTGAGTAGGGTATGGAAAATTAGTATGTTCCCTATGCTTCACCCTGGCATAAGCAACACTTGATATGCCATAAGCTAGTGTTGAGTTTGTAAGTTTGAAGTTGCCAGGTAAAATAATGCAAATTACTCCAGGTGAAGCTAGGTCCTGAACTTGAATCATATTCCACTTCAGAACAGAGGATTTGCTAGTTACTGGAATACTAACCCAGGGATACCAGAAACAGTATCAGTTGGTTGTGGAATCTTAGAAACAACATAATACAGCTCACCAGTCAGTTTTCAGTTACCGTGACTAGAGCACTTCTGTTTATACATTTAAACTCTTCAGTGTCTGACATTCATGCTATTATATTCCTCTTGCATTCAGTTTCTAGATTTTTCAAGGCACACCCTTTGGATTTCACCAGTCTAACATCAATCTCTGTTTATGTAAGAAAGCATTCTATCCATAGCTGGTAGTACTTGAGGTAAACTTCGTACTTTTCCTGAACATTGGGCATAGAGAAAGGCACATATATATAGCACATAGCATGCTGAGCAGTATCTTGGTTCATCTTAACTCTTTGAGTGCCTAGGGCTTTTCAGTTTGACTGAGGACTCTACCTCGTAGCTGATACACTCAGTGTCAGTGAGGATTACTGGTCAGCCTTGTGTGATATCTATTGTTGCATGTTAGCTACTCAGTGCAGGTGCCTGCTCTTCTGTATCAATAGCAGTGCAGAATAGAAGAGAGCTTCAGAAAATACTTTTTGAAGTGCATATAATCTCTCTACTTCAGGTGTTTCCAGGGCTGTGGCCTCAGTAGAGTCTGAATGTACTTGAATGCCTGCTAATTCCCCCAGTGCATAGTTTGTTAATGAACAGAAGCAGTTGGACAGGAAATGCCATTATCGTTCCTTTTTATGTTTTGGTCTGACAACCACATCCTTAATTGTACTTCATGAGAGATGTTTTCAAATGTTCCCCAAAGGTTTGTGGTTTGTGACTGAAAAGCAGTCACGGTGTTTGACCCTGAGGATTGACACGGTGTTGCATGGATTATATCACCTAAATAATTGCAGCATAGAAGCTGATATTCCTTTTCAGTTTATAAAACTAGTTTACACAGACTAGCAGGCTGTATCTGGGAGATATGATTCATACCTCTCTTGTTAGAGCAGACTATCCCCTAAATATGTAAACAACTTGTTTGTGCATCATGTGAGATACCTCGGCTCTTTATAGTTTTGGTCTCTTTTATCAAGAAGTTATCCAGTACAAATTGCAGTGTAACAGAGAAATTGTTAATTTTTCTTTCCTCTTTTGGGAAGGGGAGTTGGGGGGTGGGGAGGGGGTGTGTTTGGTGGGGGATTCTCTCTCACATGAGCTGTCTAGGAGAAGAGAAATTTTGCATGAAACTTTCTCCTAAGCCACCAAAGAAAGATTCTATAATGTAACCATTGTATAGTGAAATAGAAATGGGAACTTTTTAATAACCTCCCTTTTGGAGACCTGGAAAAGCTAGCTATCTTTTAGTTGAGGTTGGTCATCTTGCTCTTTAGAACCCTTGCAGGGAGCTAAGGGAAGATAATATCCTGTCTTTTCAATGAGGACACTTCTGTGTGTCCTACTCACTAGAATAAAACCAAAAAGCATAATCATTAACTATTTGAGACCTGATACCATCAGCATTCTTCCTGTTTTAGCAAGCAGTGTTAGCATGACTAGATCACTATTACAAGCATGGGCCTTTTGACTAAAGGCCGCTCCCTGAGAATGATAATGGAAAACTTATACTTCAGGGGAAGTGGAACAGACTTGGGTTCTCAAGGCCCTGAAGTGTTCAGTCTTTTGCAAGTACTGCTGAACGTTAAGAATTAGGCTTAGAAACAGGTTAATATGTTTGCATGGCTTCCAGTTGACTTATGATATAGACGGAACAAATTATTTGGCACGTCGGGAAAATGAGTTCATATTCCTCCTGAAAATAAATATGTACATGCATTTTCATCAATGTGTCACTTTAAGCCCTTCTAACAGTACAGAAAATGTAATTTCTGTAGGAAATTTCAGCTTAGCCAAAAGGGACCTGGGGGTCCTGGTGGACAAGAAGCTGGACATGAGTCAGCAGAGCACTGCTGCAGCAATGAAGGTGAATCAGATCCTGGGCTGCACCCCCAGGGACGTTACTAGCAGAGATAGGGATGCGATCATCCCTCTCTACTTGGTGTTGGTCAGGCTGCACCTGGAGTGCTGTGTCCAGTTCTGGCCAAGCAAAATTATTTTGAAATCATACCTTTTTAGCTTTTTGCAGAGTGAGTTCTTCTGGCTTAAAAGTAGTCTTGGCTAAAGTAATTTCAGAGATCTGTTTCTGGTTTATGGATAATAACCACTGCAGGAAAAATAGGATGGAACTTTAAGAAGTCATGTCGTCCAAACACATCTGAAGGAAGTTTTCAAGTAATCTCCCTTCCCACTCCTAAGATATCTTGTTAATGTTCTTTTCCCTCCATCGAGAATTGGTGGTGTTTCGTGCAATTGTGAGTTAGGTTTGCAGGACTTTTCTTACTCAAGTCTTGGCACAGCAAGCTTAAATGCTATATTTTTACATAGAAAAAGAACTTAAAGCTAATTTCTGTCTTACTTTTAGATAAACTTCTGTTTTGTTGTTTTGTTTGAAAAATGGAACATGGGCTGAGGGGAGAGCTATACCTACACTGCAGATATAGTGGAGGAATCTGTTTAGGGTGATCACTATGGAAGTCCTTTAATGTGATTTTGGTTTTAACCTAATTTCTCACTGTCTGAAAACCCTGCTGGGCTTCTTGCCATCTTGCAGAATAATTGAAGCTCTGTTAAGCTGAAGAAAACTCTACCAACAGTAGCTGCACAACAAATGCATTTTAAACACTGTAGCTTTCTTTTTTCCTTTTTTTCTTTTTTTCCCCCTTGTTGATTTGCTAGCCCTTTCTCTGAGCCAGTCTGCCCTAAAAGTGATTCAGAACTAGAAGTTAAACCTGCTGAGAGCTTGCTTAGATCTGAATCTCACATGGAATGGACATGGGGAGGATTCCCAGAATCAACGAAGGTAAATTTATTTATTATGTCTAACTTTGTGAATTGACTTTTGTCATATCTAAAATTATGTCCTGAGAGAATTTGAAATCTGCTGCTGTTCTTCAGAATAATTCAGCAGAAATAGGAAAGCAGCACCCCCTTGTGGCTGGCAGATAGTAGAATTTGTGGAGTTGAAAAGCTGGTTGGCAAATTCCAGGAAACCTAGCAGTAGAAATCTAAAATTTTTGAATTTTTAGTTAGAAACTGAAGAAAGCAACTTTAGAAGCTAATTTCCTTTATTTTATGCTAAGCTCTAGTTCATTCCAGAGGAATTTTAGCCTTGATAGAGTAAATTTGGTATCTAACAGGACAGGTGGTGACAGAAGCCCTGGTACATCCACATTTATGCTTATTTCTTTTTCTTGCCATGGTTTGGTCAAGTCAGCACTTCCTCTATGCCAGTTTCTTTACTGAACTGGTAAACAAGCTAGCAAAGCTTTTGTTTACAGAGAACTTTGCTAATAAGGTGCAGCATGTTTTATGTTGATAAAATACATGTTTAAATTCTTACCTGGTTTACTTGTATAACTTGTGTACTTGTGTACCAGGGTGTGTACCATGAGCTTAATGTTTATACCAGAATAAAATAAACATGTGAAGTTAAAGGATTGACTGGAGTTTTGTTTTTTCAGATAAGCAAGAAAGAGAAACTGGAACATCCCAGAAGAGCTACCATTACTCCATCAGAGAAGACTCATTTTAGGGTCATCCCCAGCTCTGATGAAGTTGAAGATGATGATGATGTGAAAGATTCTGTCTGTACAGTACTGAAACCTGAGCCAAGAACTCATCCTCTGCTTAAGCAGATGGATGTTAAAGATTCTCTTGCTTCTGCAATCATAGAACCGCAAGATCCATTGCCATTAGATGCTGATCATCATTCCAGACTGTTGGTGGACTCTTTACCAGAAACGAAGCCATTAGCAAAAACTGACTCTCCTTCAAAAAAGAAAGGTATATAATAAAACTGTTGATTCTTTCCTTCAGTGTGATCTACCAAATTTGAGACCATAGTGGAAAAAGTATAAATGTACATTTTCAATTTTTCCTATTTAAAATCTTATTTGACTAAAACTCTAATTAAACTCTTGGATTTATAAATACTACAAGTGAGTCTGAGTCTTCCACAATTACGTTTGTAGTTAACGTGTCTGGATAGCTTCATCTTAGTAATCTTAATTGTTAAAATTAACAGGGGTGCACAAGCGAAGTCATCATCAGGGGCCTGATGATATTTACTTGGAGGACCTAAAGGCTTTAGAACCTGAAGTTGCAGCACTCTACTTTCCCAAAAGGTAATTTTGAATTAAGGTTGTATGGATCCAGGGTTATATTGCAGTTGCACTATGAGAGTTATTATACGCGTGATTTAGGTGGTTATGAGCCAGTTCTGATAAAAAGAATAGGAATGCAGGTTTGTAGGATTTTTTTGAATAATCAGTACTGATCTCACTGTGAAAATCTGTTTCTGATTTGGCAAAAAACACATTGAAAGATCACGTTGGAGGTCATTACTGTGAGATTTCATCTTTGTGGAACCTGTATGTTCTGCATATATTGGGGGCTGGGGGGGGAGGGAGAGGAGGGAGGTTTAAGCTGCACACTCCTTTTGCATCAGTACTCTATTTTGCCATAGTACTTGCTCTAGGCACGCACACACCAGTTTATTTTTTCCATTTTTTTAATATCAAAAAAGACCATCCAAAAAAAATCCCACAAGGTCTTAATGGAAGGCAGCTCAGTCTCAAAATTCACTTTTTTTTTTTTCATGAAATCAAAGCATTTTATACTCCTAAAATAGTCTCCAAAAGTGTAGTTGTCTAGTAAGACCTTTGTAAAAATACAACTTAATAAGGAAGGAGTATCTGTTGGTTTATGTTAAAACTAAAATTGTAAACTTTTCAGTACTTACTGATTACATTACTTGGGATCAAACTAATAATTCTAACTTTAGATAACAAAGTGATATTTTTTTATTTAAAAGGCCACCTTTCTTTTCTATTTTATGTTTCCCAAACACACAGCGTTCTAAAAACATCAAGCAATGTCCTTTTTCCTTTTGTTCTTATTCTACAGCTTTCCAGTAAAGACTGAGGAGTGTAGTATTGTTCTGCCATGATAGAGTGTAGAGGATCTTTTCCTCATTTAAGTCCAATATTCTTGCAGGCAAGAGAAATGTAATTACTTCCCAATTTAGGTGAATGTTAGGAGAACTGGAAATTGTCAGTCTTCCAGAAGGATTGGGTGGGTGGGCACATTTGTGTCAGTTCTTTCTTTCTTTGGGTTTGAAATTATGTTGTAAAATGATGTCATACTTAAAAGAATTTTTTTTTTGACTAATCATGTAGCATGTTCTGTAACCTAAAATCTATACTTTTTTTTTTTTTTTTGCAAGTGAAGTATTTAGGAAAATGTGACTTCTTTTCTTTAGTGATTCTGATCCAGGCTTCAGACAGTGGACAGAGTCAGATACCCTTTCTGGTTCTCAGTCACCCCAATCAGTAGGAAGCGCTGCTGCTGATAGTGGTACAGAGTGCATGTCTGATTCTGCTATGGACTTGCCTGATGTTACACTTTCACTTTGTGGAGGTCTCAATGAAAATGGAGAGATTTCTAAAGGTATGTGAAAGATTAAAACTCAGTAATAAAGCTCAGACAGCTAAAAAAATGAAGAGGCTTGAATGCTCTGATTTCTACCTTACAAAGCTATGGCTTATTATTATGCTCATGTTGAGAAAAGACAATGGATAATATTTCATTTTCTATAATTCTCAAGCATTTGCCAAGCAGAAATAGCAGAATTTAACCTCAAATTAATCAAGAGCACTTGATGTCTTGAGAAGCTTTCTGTCTCCTTTTTTGCACTGCATGTTGTGTATCTGACCAACTACTCTTGTTTCTGGCTGCAATTACTTGCTTAGTCTCACGTACATCTTTACAATTTGTATTATTTCAAATTGCCTGATAATTTTTCTTCTTTTTTAGTAGTTTGTTTAAAGCGATTAAAAAAAAAAACAAAACACCTTCAACTGTTGTGTTGGACTATCTTTTCTCCTGCTCTTCTTTTACTATCCTAAACTTTTGTTATCCTTTAGGTTTTTTTATCAGCTGATTCTTCTCTTGTAATGCTTTGGTTAATTTTAATATTGAAGTTGTATGCATTATTGAGGGAGCTTCTAGGAGCACGTAATTTTCATGAACTTGTACAGTGATGTTTTTAGTATTACCTTTTTAATCGTCATCCAGTCTGTAATGCATCAAATGAAGTTTAAATGCTTATTGATAAAGGCTTAGAACAGCTTGTTAGTGTGGTAGTAATATTGGATATGATTTAAAAAAAAAAAGCCTCTTCCTGACAGGGGTCTTACGCTAAATCATGAATTTCTGCAAACTTGTATAGTCACTAGTCATGAAATTGCTATTAATAGTCAGTGATTAAAAAAAACAAAACTGAAAAGCTGACAACATCCTTCCCCCTCCTCTTTTAATGTAGTATGTAGGTCCCTTACTTGCCATAGTAATTTTAAAGAAAACTTACTTAGACGAGCATGGCTCTCTCTTTCCAGACTGCAAACTGAATTAGGTCCTACCTCCTCCTTATCCTCCCTCTTGTAATTTCTTAATTCTCATTACTGTGACTGGAAGTAAGTGGTACAAGGCTTTTCCTGTTACAGAGGTGGCAGCCATAAGGCTCTTGACAGGTAGGCCGCGTTAGCATATCTTGAGTGATGTTGCAAGATCAGCAAAGACTCTGAAATGACAGAAAGCATTTTCCTAGACACAAACTAATCAGACATCTTGGGATTTTATATTATTATTTTTAATTAAAATCTGCTTCTATTGCAGAAAAATTCATGGAACATATTATTACTTATCATGAATTTGCTGAAAACCCTGGACTCATAGACAATCCCAATTTGGTAATAAGGATTTATAACAGGTAAACTCCTTATATCATGTAATTAGGTCATAGAAGATCTCGTTTAAAATCTACCCTTTAAAGTGAGTGCATTTCTCAGTTTCCATTGCAATTTGTATTTTTTGATGGATCTGTTTCTCAGTCTCAAAGAGAATGATTTTGAACAGATTTGCATTAAATTTAGTTTTAACTGAAGTGAGGTTTTTTTTTTCAGCAACTACCACTGATGTTGAATTGTATATATTGAATTTGATTGCAGAAAACTTTAATATTAATTCTTGGCAGCAAATATATAGTTTCACCAACAAAAGGGCAGTTTGCATACTGATACTTATTGACCTCTGGTCAGGTTTTGTAATCTTATCAATAACATGTTTTAAAACAGGTATTATAACTGGGCGTTGGCTGCTCCTATGATTCTGAGTTTGCAGGTGTTTCAGAAGAGTTTGCCCAAGGTAAATAGATACACGTATATCTTTTTAAAGATTTTTTAGGTAGTAACACGTGATTATGTCTTTATTTTGTTTTTCTGTACAAATTAAAAACGTGCCTAATTTTTCAGGCTACTGTTGAGTCTTGGGTCAAAGAAAAAATGCCAAAGAAGTCTGGACGGTGGTGGTTCTGGCGCAAGAGAGAAAGCATGACTAAACAGGTAACTGAGATCTATTTTGATTTTTTTTTTCCCTTTCCTTAGCTGTCAAAATATGAAAAAATTGTAAATTGTAAAAAAAACAAAAAACGTCCCTCAGAACACTGCTTATGTAGCGATGTGTCACTGATTGCCAGCTGGGAGTTACTCAGTGTTGCAGTAGCTATAGCTGCTTCTATATATTTAGTCTGAAATAGTGGATCTTTATTTGCTGTTACTAGTTGCTTCCACAAAATTTATTGTATTCATTTGTTGCACAATATTCTTAAAGTTCTTTCTTCTAAGGCATAAGCAGTTGTCCGAGCTACTCTTCAGTCACTGCAGCATGTTTTAGGAATGTATACACAAATAAATAAGTAGGTGCTGTACTGCATAAAAGATATTATGCTGAGACATCTCATTTTAGACTAAATTAAGCTTTCTAAACCCTGAGTATGTGCCTTAAATTTACTCCCCCCCCCCTTTTTTAAAAAGTGAATTTTATAAGCTTAGAGGTTGACAGCTCCTTTCGTGCTAAATTCATCATGTTAAACTAGTAGTTCTCAACTTCTGGCATGCAGAGTTTTGTTTCCTGAAATAATAAAAAGCTTTAATGTATCATTTATTCATAAGCATCCTTTTGTTAAATAATGTACAGAATGAGCAGTTCTGAGACAATATAGTTTATGTACTATATTGATAGCTGTTTGCTTAAGTGTGAACTATGAATTCACTTTGATCAGTTTAAAATGCTTAAAATGTCAATATGTTTTTTATTATCATGTTGCTTTAGATACCAGAGGCAAAAGAGGGGAAAACTGAGACGCAAAGAGCAAGTGAACTGCCAGCAACTATAAAAGAGCAAGTTAATAGTAGGTGTGTTCCTGTCTGAAGACTTATTTTGTGGACTGAATAGTGTCAGGGGTTTTTGGTTTTGTTTTGTGTTTTTTGGTTTTTTTTAATGAAGAATTCAGTAGAAATTTACTGTGGGAAGAAACATTTTCCTCTAAGCTACTGAAGAGAAACCAGATGTGTTTGGCAAACAATTTAGCCAAATAATGTGGCAGCAAACATTGTAGGAACTACAAATACACTACAGTTATTTCTTAAATCCTATTGTGTTTATGTCTTAAATTGTAACATAACTGACAGAACAACAGACATATATGGTAACCTTTATCAATGGACCACTAGTCTGTAAATATAATGGTATTGTTTCTTAGATAATGTTTGTCCTCTTTTTTTTTTTTTTGTAAAACCCTAATATTGTATGAATAACTTAAACCATGTGCAATTTTTTTGTAACATTAAATAACTAAAACAATAAAATAGCATTAATTACAGTGCACAAGTTGCCTGAGATTGTGGTTGAACTAGCACTATTTAGCACAGTGTCCCACTCTAGATAGTTTTTATGCATATTCCTATTCTCCCATGATTTTACAAAGATACTTGTAAGTGTTGTTGGTGTCTTAAAGATTTAAGAAGCTAAATATATTGTGGTTGAATACTTCAGAGAAATTAAATGCTGCTTTTAATCTTAAAATCTCTAATCGGCAGAGAAATAAGTCTGAATAACCGTAAAAGGTGAGCTACTCCTCTAACTTATCCCCCCCAGTTTAAGTTATGTAGTAGCTGTGTCAGCTTTTTTAAAAAACAAAACACTGTTACTCATTCAGTATCACTTTTCATCCACAGTTTCCCTATTTCATCAACACAGTATTAGTGATCATTTGACACTGTGTCTTTACTAAACTCATCATGTGTGGAGCCAGCTAGTAACAGTAATATTCAGAGCTCCACCAATACTAGTGTGCATTATGAGTCTTACTTGCTTATTGCATATGCTAGCTTTATCTGGGCACTCACTAGACCATGGACCTTGTTAATCTGAGCTTCAGGATAGTAGCAAATCCTCAACATAAGCAGAAATTACTCTTGCATAAGAATCTTACACCTTTAAAGAAGGATTTTTTGTAGCTTACGTTTATTCTGGTTGATGTCATGTTAGACCTCCAGAAGATGATTCTTCTAGTGATGAAGCATCACAGGAATTGAAGGAATCTCTGAAAATAGATTCTGCCCCAGTAGAGCATCCAACCCATGGGAACATTACATCTTATAAGAAGTCACTTAGGCTGTCTTCGGACCAAATAGTAAGTGGTATGCCTTTCTTGTTCATGGGATGCTTCATAATTTCACTCTGTTTGATTGTAAAAGTTGAGCTTTTTCTGCTTTTTAGAAATGATATATAAGTCCATTTCACAAAGTTAAAAAATTATCTTTAGGCTATTTTTCTAGCAGTAGAAAAAATGAATGGGGAAATTTAAAATTTAAAAAGGAATTTAAAGTGTTTTCTAGTGCTAGTGTTGGCAGCTGCAGGGAATTTTTGATTTTTTTTTTCTGTTGTGTTTTTTAAGAATCTGTGTTTGGATTAAAAGAAGTAATTTCTTACAAAGTTCTGTAATTAAACTTATATATTAATATGTTGCCAAAAAAGTGACATTGTTGGCTTCTGCAGTTTCGATATCCTGGGATCTTCGCTGTCTAATAATGTACATTTAAATTGGTGTGCAGTTTATTCATTGCAGTCTAACTTACAAGTTAATTTTGCTACTGTCTAAATATATGGTCTTCATAGGGGAAGAATTTTGAGGAAAGTATCCACCAAGTAGAAAATACTATTGCATACCATAGCAAACTCTGAGTTCCATTTGCCAGTACTGTAAGTCGACTGTAATAGCAAGAATTAAAGTAGCAGACAGTCAAATATCTTATTACTATTACTAATATGTATTATTTATTACTACTGCAGTCAGTGCTGCTGTAAGCAGATATAGGAGCTATGGACAAATACATGTACCTAGACTATAAGACAGACTTTACCAGCAAAACCGTGCCAGTGTTAAACCATGGTTCACTTTTTGATCTGTTAATCAAAACAGATGAGGAAGAATATATGAGCCATTAGGTCATTTATGATTCTAAAAATTTTATAATGAGGACAACTTATATTTTCAATTAATTTGATTTATTCTAAAGGCAAAGTTGAAGCTCAGAGATGGCCCTAATGATGTTGTATTTAGTATTACAACCCAGTATCAAGGGACTTGCCGTTGTGCGGGAACAATATATCTCTGGAACTGGAATGATAAAATCATCATATCAGACATTGATGGAACAATAACCAAGTATGTATCATTGTTTTTTTCTTTTCTTTGGTGTTTTTAACTTGCTTTATTGATCCTATCCCACTTTTCAAAAGAAGAGAGGAAGACTATTAAAGGATGTTCATTAACAATCATAAAAACCACTTGTTGCTTTGATTTTAATTTGTACTTGCATTTACAGCAAACCAGAAATTATCTTTTAAAAGAATAATGCAAGGGTGATAACGTTTACCATATGACTGTTGCCCTTTCAGTTAGGCTTCTCCAGGTTTAGCAACCGTAGGTTAACTTGCAAACTGACTTGTGCTGTATGGCCCCACTAACTGCTCTGTCTGGAATAGTTACTAAGTCTCCCTTGAAATGGTTAGGACCTTCTGCAGTGGTATTTCTGCAAATATTCATTATAAATTGTATATTCATTAGTGGTTGTCTTTAACAAAACTCACATACTTAGTATCAGCTATCTCTGATTTTGTTGTTAGGTCTGATGCTTTAGGACAGATCCTCCCTCAGCTTGGCAAGGACTGGACTCATCAGGGCATTGCAAAACTCTATCATTCCATAAATGAGTGAGTATGTAAGCTATGAAGCAATTAGGGTTTCCTGGAATTTGGGAATTAATGAGCAGGTAATTGTATTGTTAATAATTATGCAGTCTATTAAAATTTGTTAGTCTAAATGTTGGGAAGTGAGCTACTTCTGTCATTCACAAACAAAAACTAAGGCTTTTCCCCAGGATGCATACTTTTACAGAAATGGAACCCACCACTTCTACCAGTTCCCTTCTCAAACGTTTGGCTTTGCATTTTAGTTCTTAAAAGCTGTGTGCAATATTGTTTGACTACAAAAGAGAACCATCATAGCAATAATTTCTCAAACAGTCATGCATAGATCTGTTTCCACCAACTCAGGTTGATCACAAAGCCTATTACAAACATGGTACAGTGTAAATTCAAACCTAAACAGTGTCCTTCCAATGCATAAATATTCTGTGTTTTAATGTGTTTGCTACCAACCTCAAGTGAATGCTCCTTAGGATAGAATTCGTGGAGGAAGGACAGGAAACATGACTTCCACCTTGCCGTAGTGGTGAGGTGTTTGCTTAGGTCAAAGGTGTTGTGAAGCACACCATTATAAATGTACTGTTCATCTAAAGGTATATAGCCTTATAATATTTATGTCCACTAACTTAGGGCAGATAAGCCGACATTTTTCCTTCCCTTTCAGATTTGGTCCTTTGTTTAGCAAACTATTTTTCAAAAATATAGTGATGCCAGAAATAACACTTGCTACAGAGGATCACAAGATGATCCTCATGATCCACTTAAAATAATCAGCTTTTATCTTTGTTTTTAAGTTTAGTAGTCTTTCTTCCCCAAAAATATTTGGGGTCTTGGAATCTTTTATTGACCTTTGGTCTGTTCAAATAGAGCTAAATTTCATCTGTGGCCCCTTGCAGTCCATGAGATACACAAAACAAAGTTCAGGTTATTCAGTGCGTAATGGAAGAGTAGTTTTGGAATTATTTCCCAAATTGAATCGGGTCTTTGGAAATACACATAAACACTCAAGCCTTTTGTGCATGCAGTAACTGTACAAATCTGCATAACAGATGAACATACAAAGTCTGCAGGAAAAATCTAGGGGCTTAATGAATACTTCTTATCAGTCCTTCACTCTGCACTGCAAATTCTGCCAATGACTTGAAAAAAATCCAGTAACCAAGAGAGGAGATCGGGCATCCAGTATTATGTGATGCAGATAATTTAAATAACTGCTGTCATCCTACAGCTGGACTGAAAGAAGCTGGATAAAACCACTGTGGCACTTGTTTAAACACAATCTAGTCCATCTAATTGTGTAATCTGAGTATTATCATCCCTGTTGTTTTTGCACTTTCTGTTTCTCAAGTTTGAGCGATGTATTTAAACTATGATATGCCTTGGAGATTTTTTACCAGTGGAACAGTCTTTTCCTTGTGTGTGTGCAGAACACTGCAATGAGTCAGTACCTAAACTGGTGCCTCTGGGCAGTTTACTTATGTTGGCAAAGTAAGTCTTCGTCAGGAATATGAACTACGTTGATAATTCTTTTCTAGAAATGGCTACAAGTTTCTGTACTGTTCTGCCCGTGCCATTGGGATGGCAGATATGACCAGAGGATATCTACACTGGGTGAATGACAAAGGAACAATTCTCCCCAGGGGTCCTCTCATGTTGTCCCCCAGCAGTTTGTTTTCTGCCTTTCATAGGTAAGCATGTGGGACTTCATACATCTGTTCTCTCCCCATCTCAGAGAAAGAAGCAGATTTAAAAGATTTGACATGCTGACCGTTATGTCTGTAACCAAACGTTCCACTCTGTGCTAGATTTGCTATTGAGACTTGATGTCCTGCTGGTGATCATTTATAAGCTATTTGTTTTGTCTGAATTTCACTTGTAGTAAGTATACTTTGTTTCTGTGGGTGTATTAGAAGTGGCTACAAAACACAAAATACCAGTTGTAGACCAGCTCACAAAATACCAGTAATAGAGCAGCTCATTTTCCTTTTTCTTCATTCTAGTCCATGACTGATTACTGTTAGGTTTTGTTATATCAGTACAATCATGTCTTTTCAAGCATAGCTGCAAGGATTGTAGTACAGTGCTACTATGTAAGATAGAGGGAAAAGAAAAAAAGCTGGGCAATATAGACTATCATACTAAATGATCTTGCGATATTAAAAAGCAATATGGAGTTTAGCTATGATTCAACTCAGTTGATCTTTTGAACTAGACGTAGTCTACATGCTCTTGATGGGAAGAGCTAATAGTGGAAAAGTCTTTTTGGTTTTGTTTGTGGGTTGGTTTTTTGGTTTTTTTTTAGTAAAAACAACTGACTCATTGCTAGCAATGACCGCAACCTCCATTAAGGTCACGAGTAGGCCTTCCACACTCTTTTGTCAGAGATGGGAGTTGTAACAAGTTTGTTACAACATAACTTGATTTGGTCGTCTCATTCAGATGGTCACCTACGATAAAAGCAGTTCGCAAACTGGATTCACAACTGGGAATTTCATCACATTTACTCAGCCTAGGAACACGTTCATCACCAATTTTTTTCTATGGATGTTGGAAAAGAGAGAATGTTTTACTGTTTTATTATCTGTTGTATCATTCTTGGAAAACTACTGACCAATGTATACATAACTAGTTATGCTAGGAGCAGGAAGCAAGGAGAATTTAAATATCAGATAAATGGGGGAAGGAGTATACCCTCTGTCAAATCACGATTTAGAATTTGACTGTTGAAATTTTATTTTAGGGAAGTAATAGAAAAGAAGCCTGAAAAGTTCAAAATCGAATGTTTGAATGATATCAAGAATTTGTTTGCTCCCAGTAAACAGCCTTTCTATGCTGCTTTTGGAAACAGGCCCAATGTAAGTCTGCCCCTTTCTAATTGAAGGGTTAAAATGCATGAAGTACTTGGGAAGCAAAGGAAATAGGCTTTTCTTTTTGTGTCTATTTAAATTTGAATAAGGAAATGGGACACTGGTGCTTTTATGGGTTTGGTCTGGAAAAACCCACATGCAGATACCTTAAAAGCTACGAGAACTGCTTATATGAGAAAGGTTACAAAGATGTGTTAGTACTCTCAGGATTTTATTAAATATGTGCCACCTTTCCATATTCTTTTTCAGCATTTTTGACAGCTTTATAACCTAATTCAGTGCTCCTCAGTCTTGTATCCTTTTTCTTATCATACGGTTCCTGTATTTTCTCTGCAGCTCAATGCTATTGTAGTTGAGCTAGAGAGAGAGAGGGTATTGTAAGAGGAACATTGTCACAAGGACTGGTATCGATTTGTGTGGTATAGATTTTGTGCATGTTTGTGGTCTCAGGCTTGGGAACAGGAATTAAGCGTTTGGGGGAGGGGGGAATGTTTCATTATTATGTGCGTATATTTTTTGAGTTTTGTTTTGTTTTTTGACTGTTGTTCAGGGGGCAGTTTTACTGTACCGTTTTTGGATCAGATTTTCTCATTCCTTCAAGAAATTTTGTTATATCACCTTCAATAGGGAAAAGTTTAAGCATGTGCTTTTGTTCGTGCTTTTTGCAGGATGTGTATGCCTATATGCAAGTGGGAGTTCCAGACTGCAGAATATTTACTGTGAATCCAAAGGGTGAACTGATCCAAGAACGGACTAAGGGAAACAAATCTTCGTAAGATCATTTTGTTATTTCAGCTAAAGAAAGTATTTAGGAATGGGATTACAAAATAATTGCAATTGTGACCATGATTCGATGTCCTATTACATATGACATGTGAAAATCTTATTTGCCAGACAGAGACTTACAGCTTTGGATACTTGACTGAAACTTTTCAAAACGAAAAGTAAAAAAATAAAACTGAAAATTGCTTCTGCAGTAGTGGTGCCTTATTTTGACTATAGCTTTCTGGTCTAGACTTCTAAAGCTCCTTTTTGGCTAGAGTTGAACAGTGACTAGACTGTAAATGATGGTCTTTCTTCTTTTTTAATATAGGTATTACAGACTAAGTGAGCTTGTGGAACACGTGTTCCCATTGCTTAATAAAGAACAGAGTTCTGCATTTCCGTGCCCAGAATTCAGCTCCTTTTGCTATTGGAGAGAGCCTCTTCCTGACCTTAACATGGACGACCTGGCCTGAAAAATATTCCTCACCTAGAGATGGAATTTCATATTCAGCTACTCAACTTCAGTTTAAATGTGAAGAACTTTCTTAACAAAGATGCTAACTTGTATACTGGTACCATAAGTCTTACTAAAGAAATCACTTTAACTCCGTTGGTTTAAAACAAAGAAAATGCAAAGCTACTGTCTATTTTTTTTTTGTGAGGGTTCGTATTTTTGTTTGTTTGTTTCTTTATTGCTTGTCTTTATATACCTGTTCTAAGGCACTTGAGATTGGCCTGTCATGGATGGTCATGGTACCCAAGTGCTTCAGGGCAACTAAATGCTGAGGTAAACTATGACTTTGCATTTTCATCAATACAGACCTTATTGTAAACATAGATTTATTTTTTTTTTTATTAGTGTTAATAGTATATTTTCTAAAATGAAGCCAAAAAGTGTATGGAAACTGCCAAATAGAATGTCAGACCTATTAATAAGAAATGTGGTCTAATAATGTTCAGATGGGCAATTAGGCCGTTTTTGAAAGGAGCCAGAACCTAAGACCAGTGTGCTCTTTCTCAGCTAAAATACAGAAAATGTGTGGATGTTCCTAGCCTGACAGACTCTGAAGACATAAAATTCCTCTTTAAATGTAAATATGACTTTTGTCACATGTACAAGACTGTGCTTCTACAATTCACGCTCAAACTAACTCTGCTTCTTACTTTTTTTACATGCAATGCTTAAACTATTTCATGAGCTTGTTAAAATGAAAGTTGTCTTCAGATACTTGTATGGTTTTGTTGTTTTCAGGCTGCACTATGTCATGTTAATTTTCCATCAAGAAAAATCTTGAACATTTCTGTAAGAGTTGGGGAGCTGGCATTTTTATTTCCTTTTTCAACACAGAGATAATGCATATGTGTGTGTATGCTGTGTAGGCCAGTAAAACGTATGTACAGATTATATTCAGGGAATTGTAATACTAAAAAAATTATGTATTTAATTTTTTAATTGTCTACTGCAGGTCTTTCCAGAATTCTGTATTGCAGGTTTTCAGTAGCTGGAAAGAAATGCAGCTCAATAGTGAGATTGCAGGTATGAGAATGGTTAAATGCTGCAGAGCAGAATAAACCCTTTGCTTTTTTTTTTTCTTTCCTTTTTTTTTTTTAAAGTTTTGGGTTGTTCATAAACATTATGCTGGTCATTCCTCAGGTTCAGATCAGAGCCTGTGAACAAATTGCATTCCAAGTCTAGTGTTTATCAGCAGTAAAAGCAGCTAATATTTCTTTCTCCAAAAATACTTGAAGGCAAAGGTAGATCTGCTTTTTAAGTTGAGTTAGTGCATTTAACCTCCTTCGGACAAGTCTGTGGTGAGAATGTATCATTCCACCAGCCCAGAGGGCTTAAGGACTACGGTCATTCAAACATCATTTAAGCATCAGTCATTTAAACATTCATGCTGGGCTTTCTGGGCACACAGTCTTTTCTGTCACTCCTTGAGCAAGTTCCTGGGTCTGTCCGTGCATTAAAGATCCTTCTAGGGGCAACATCCAGAATTTCCACCAGGCTCCAGGGCAAGCTCTGCCTCCTAAACAGCTCCTCGTGGGAGCAGGGAAACACGAGTGATCTTTAGAAGACGTGTGCATGGCTGCCTGCTGCGGTGCCTGCACCGGGGCTGGTCTTCTCAGGAACAGCCTGGGCAGGCCCTTCTGCTTCAGCTTACTTGTGCTGAACGCAGGAAAGGAGCTCTTTGTTTCACCACCTGCAAAAGGGTACATTCAGAGGGGTTTGCCCCCCACCCCAGGAATATTTTATTTCCTTTCTCAGGCTGAGTAGTCTTAACTCACAGCTCTGAATGTAACACCAGCTAATGCTAGACAATTGGTGAACTGCTTGGGGTTAATTTTTAGATCACCATATAAATGAAATTATTTTTTCTTCTATCTTACAAAACTCTGGTGTATTCCTGTGATTATAAAACATTAAATAAAGAGTGGGGGCAAGCAAAATCGACCTGGAACCTCTCTTTCAAAGCAGTAGCATGGGAGTGGGAAAGAAAACATACCTATCTGTCATGGTGTGCCACGCCTGTCAGTGACTTGAAAGGCATCCTTGTTCTTGTACAGTGTGACTGTTTCAGCAAATTCTTGGTCCTGTCATCAATCTACTCAGTGTTTATGTGGATTTCACAGGATTCAACTCAAAGGATACTTTAACTGCTTTTTTTTTTTAAACTGTCAGAAGCTTACAAACATATTTTTTCTTTTCTTACCTTTTATTCTATATATTTTGTTAGAAACTCACATTTTCATGATCACCAAGTGCTTTGAATATCAATGGGATTTGAGCTTTTAAGTTACTTAAATACTTTAAAATAAATTAGAATCCAAGGTAATTAAATATTTTAATTACAAGATGAAATATTCTATCTAAAGATCCTATTTTACATAAAAGGAGTGAAGCTGCCTCTCCTAAAAGAGTCCTTTGTGGATGCCAAAATTTTCTTTACCATGCTTAACTTATTCTCGGTGGCCCTGGTATTACACAGGCTTTCTAAAAATAAAAGCACTTCATGAAACTGGGATGGGTTTCCAAATGGGGACAGATTGTTACCAAGGTTTGGCTGGATCTTCTTTGGTTGATTTTTTTTTTTTTTTTTTTTTAAATTTGGGGGTTTTTTTTACTTGGTTAATTTTTTTCTCTTCAATTCCATTCATCTTTTCAGACTGTCACAAAAATAAGCTGTGGTTTTTAAGGTGGGGACTTGAGTAAACAAGCAGTGTGGAAAAATAATGTCAGGTGTATCTCCAGATGTGTATGATTTAAACTGGTATGAGCATGGGGGTTGTGTGGTTGTAGAGAGCTCCTCATTCTGCTCACTTGGTATTTTGCATTATAGGGATGTCCAAAAAGTTGCTTAGTTAGAATTTTTTTCTTTTTTGCTCTGTAACGGCTACAGTTTTGATTTTTGATAAAATGTAAAAGTGTTCTTGAGGATTTCTGCTATGAGTAGGGGCAGGGTTTCTGTTTTGTTTTTCTAAATCTGGCTTGTATTTGAAGCTTTTCAGACTGTTTGTTAACCCTGTTTAGGGACGGACTATGGGGGCACTGTACCTGTCATTGCATACCTACGTCATTTGGTCTGCTGGGCACTTTACTGACGCTAGAAATGACATCTCATTGCTATTGAACCGTGGGCTTGTGCTGCGATATTAATATGAAGTGGGGTAAATAGGGATTATGCAGTAGCCTGCCCTTTGTTACCTTAGTCGAGAGAAGTGGCCTGAAACTAATGTTTGAGAACAAGTTGTGCTATACTTATTTAAAATTAGCGCAAGCTAAATCATTCTTTCTGTGAAAGAGGAACTTCTAAGTGTGTGTGTAGGCGCATGCACACCCCTGTTAAGACTGTGTTGTTGAAGATGCAGATCCTCTTAGCATTGGAACCATGTCAAAGGCTGAGTCAATGACACCTATCTGGGAATAAATAAGGAACATTGCAATTCAAAACTTGTTAGTGACTTGGAAATTACCCATTTCTACAGTGACTTAAAGCTCAGTAATTTAAGTGGTACATATTTCTGGATTTTTTTTTTTTTCTATTGTACCAAGCATGTTTGTACTTCAAAAGGTGGGGCTCATCCCTGACAGTATACAGTTGCATGTGCAATCCTGGCTCATGTATCCGTAGCTTCCCGTCATTGGTATACTCCTAAACCCTTTTTTTTTTTTTTTTTCCAACTGGAAAAGTTTTAACACTTGGGTCAACTCCATTATGAAACTTCTGGAGCAAACTCTGAATCCGCTTATGGTAAAGACAAAAGAGATGACATTTCATGTTAATATTTCATACAAGTCTTCTAGAAAAAGCTGTCATATGAATGAGAGTTGTTTAAATGACTGTAATGCAAACTGATAATGAAACATCAAAAATACATTGTGAATTTGAGATGCCTTTAAAGTGTCACTTTTGCCTGAAGAAGTTTTAGTTTCCAAAGTTGAATTCTGCAGAATAGAATGGCATTGGTTTGGATATTTTTACAGTGTTAATTACTTCCAGATGAAAGTTAAAACGTTGGATTGAGGGTGGGAAAACTCTCTTCAGTCATTTGTTTCATTTTTTTTTTTACGTTGAAGATGTGGAATACTTGATTGTTAACCAACCCAATCACTAATAAGATAGTGTGTTTAAAATTGTCAAGTCTGTGATCATACCAATACAGTGGTTTTTGTTAAGACTGGACTACCTTGGGTACAGTAACCCACACCTCAGTGCAATGTTTATTGATGTTCAGAACAATGTTATCACAATAAACAAACTTAAACTAAGATTTTCTTCACTTTGTACTTGGGAATTTTGTTCTTGTTTTGCTAACTTATAAATGTGGGTTTACTTAAATTGTGTGCATATTTTACACAGAATTCAAGTTGTTCTTCTAAGGACTGTGATACATTTGCTTTCTCTCACACTCAGTTTACTTTTTTCAGAGTATTGATACAACTGATAAAAAAAATTGCTGTTATCAGACTTATATCGTGTGCCAATATCGGCTTATAACCATAATGAAAAGCAAACGTGCATTAGCAATATAGACTATCAGGTAACAGATGCACATCTCGGGAGTACACAAGCTGCCTTGAAGAAAATCTTGCAACCACATAGTTTGAGCTGTTGTAAATCTGCCCTAATTTGGAGTTTTATCCCAATTCAATCTAAGTTTGGGTTTCTTCCTTTCAAGGCAGAGAGTATTGTCTTCCACAACAGCTGTTAAAGTGCTTGAGGCAGTTATTGTGAGACCATCTCAAAAAGGGGCTTCAAGCATTCAGTAGAAACTTACTCTTCCTGGTCTCTTGCTGGTTTTGGTAAATGCAACTTAGAAAATCCCACCACTGGTCACACATGAAAGTATGACAGATGAAAGCATAAAGCACATTGTGCCTCCTGATCCTTCTGCAGCACGTCACTCGTGCTGCTGCCTGGGCACGGAGGTGGCTGCCAGAGTTGTATCCTCTCTGCCGCAGCAGCAGACTGTTTCTGCTGGGTTTCCCCTGTGATTCTGCACCCTTCTCTTCAAGCCTGGGGCATGTCACTCCTGCCTCCGCACTCTCTTCACTGCTCGTCTTTCAGCCTGGCACCATTTTGGTTGGGAAGTCCCTGTGCGCTCCCACGGAGCTCTCGGACCGGCAGTGAGCGGAACTGTGACACAGCTGGCACATGTCCTGTGCGCTGCACCGGGAGGATGGGGATAGTTCAGAGCTTCCGGAGGTTTCACTGCTGGACACAGCAAGGGCGCACCTGGGTCATCTGGGCCACCTCTGCACAACAAGTTTTCTAAGCACCATGAGACCCGCTGCTTTTCTTCCTCTTCCCTCACCTTAGAATAATCACAGTGACATTTCTGCCCATGTCAGAGATGCCCAAGGCCCCTCTAATCATGCAGGGGGCTGTAGCAAAGAATAGCAGAAAGACTCTGGCACTGTTGCCCTGTGGGCT